TAATTGTTGAGAAATGAAAGTAACACACATTGGGGAGAATGATTTTGAACTACCCATTTACCTTTACTCTCCTCTAAGTTTATTATGCCAGTTGAAGAAAAACTTATTTATTTTAGTTACTTATATGGCTCCTATTCCTGTAGTATCTGAACATCCTTCACTCTTTATTATATTTATCCTTACAATACATCTGTGAGGTAGGGCAATACTATTTCCCCATTTTACAGATTTGGACCTGAGGCACAGATAGATTAAGGCCCAGATCCTCAAATATATTTAGGCTCCCAAACTTCCATTGAAATAGGTAGGAGTTAGATGCTTCAATACTGTTGAGGATCTGAGCCTAAGTGACTTGCCACAAGGTCACTCAGGAAGTCTGAAACAGAGCAGGGAATTGATCCCAGGTCTCCGGCTATCGTCCTAACCACGCTCCAAGCTCCCTTGCTTATGAAAAAGACATGAAACATGGACATTTCAGTGAAGATCTGTGGTCAATGTGCAGCAGCAATCAAAAATGCAAACAAAACGTTAGGCTACATAAGGAAAGGAATGAAAAATTATTTGGAAAATGATATGTCCTCGCCTGGAATTCTGCGTTTGGTTCTGGATACCTCCACATCAGAAAAGGACGAGAATGGCTTCAGAGATAAAGGATGAAAACAGATGAAAAACTCTCACACAAGGAGAGATTGAAAAGATTGGGACTGTTTACTTTGCAAAGAAGATGAATAAGAGGGAACATGATAAAAGAATACAAAATAATGGATGGTAATGAGAAGGTGTATCGGGAACTAATATTCACAAGGGCTGTCAATTAATCGCAGTTAACTCACGTGATTAACTCAAAAAAATTAATCGTGGTTTAAAAAATTAATCGCGATTAATCGCACTGTTAAACAATAGAATACCAATAGAAATTTGTTAAATATTTTTTAATGTTTTTCTACATTTTCAAATATATCTATTTAAATTACAACACAGAATACAAAGTGTACAGTGCTCGTTTTATATTATTATTTTTATTACAAATATTTGCACTGTAAAAATGATAAACAAAAGAAACAATATTTTTCAATTCACCACATACAAGTACTGTAGTGCAATCTCTTTATCATGAAAGTGCAACTCACAAATGTATTTTTTTGTTACATAACTGCACTCAAAAATAAAACAGTGTAAAACTTTATAGCCTAGAAGTCCACTCAGTCCTACTTCTTGTTCAGCCAATCTCTAAGAGAAACAAGTTTGTTTACATTTACAGGAGATAATGCTGGTCCCTTCTCATTTACAATGTCACCTGAAGGTGAGAACAGGTGTTCGTTTGCATGGCACTGTTGTAGCTGGCATCACAAGATATTTACATGCCAGATGCGCTAAAGATTCATATGCCTCTTCATGCTTCTGCCATAGTTCCAGAGGACATGCATCCATACCGATGACGCTTGTTTCATTAAAAAAAAAATGCGTTAATTAAATTTGTGACTGAACTCCTTGGGGGGAGAATTGTATGTCTCCTGCTCTGTTTTACCCACATTCTGCCATATATTCCATGTTATAGCAGTCTCAGATGACCCAGCACATGTTGTTCGTTTTAACACTTTCACTACAACTTTGACAAAATGCAAAAAAGATATCAATGTGAAATTTCTAAAGATAGCTACAGCACTCAACCCAAGGTTTAAGAATCTGAAGTACCTTCCAAAATTTGAGAGGGACGAGGTGTGGAGCAACACTCTGATGCGGAAACTACAGAACCTCCAAAAGAGAAAATCACCCTTCTGCTGGTGGCATCTGACTCAGGTGATGAAAATGAACATGCGTCAGTCTGCACTACTTAGGATCATTATTGAGGAGAACCTGTCATGAGCATGGATGCATGTCTGCTGGAATGGTGGTTGAAGCATCAAGAGAGATCTGAATCTTTACGACATCTGGCATGTAAATATTTTGAGACGCCAGCTACAATAGTACCATGCAAACGTCTGTTCTCGCGTTTAGGTGACATTGTAAACAAGCAGCAGGCAGCATTATCTTCTGCAAATCTAAACAAATTTGTTTGTCTGAGCGATTGGCTGAACAAAAAATAGGACTGAGTGGACTTGTAGGCTCTAAAGTTTTACATTGTTTTATTTTTGAATGCAGTTATTTTTTGTACATAATTCTACATTTGTAAGTTCAACTTTCATGATAAAGAGATTGTACTATAGTACTTGTATTAGGTGAATTGAAAAATACTATTTATTTTGTTTTTTACAGTGCAAATATTTGTAATAAAAATAAATATAAAGTGAGCACTGTACACTTTGTATTCTGTGTTTAATTGAAATCAATATATTTGAAAATGTAGATGATATCCACAAATATTTAAATAAATGGTATTCTATTATCATTTAACAGCGCGGTTAATCGTGATTAATTTTTTTAATCGCTTGACAGCCCTAATATTCACCCTTTCACAATGCAAGAGCAAGGGAAGACTAGATTAAATGTAAAGTGGACAAACTCAAAACTGTTAAGAGCAAATACTTTTTCATCCAATAAAATTAGCCTATGGAAGTCATTGCATATGATATCAGTGAAGGCCAACAGCTTATCAAGATTCAAAACAGGATTGGTTATTTATATGGCTAACTAGAATATCTAATTCTGTTCTAATAGTAAATATAATAGCCCAGTTTTGTTACAATACAAAAAAGTTTTAAACCAAGACATACACTCACATTTCAGCCTGTAACTATTGGGTGCTAGGAACCAATGGAAACTTTCCCTGGGGGCAGGTTTTCCAAGAACTTCCTACTGCAGGGTCTCTTGCACCTTACTCTGAAGCATTTGATACTAGCCACTGTCAGGGATCGGACAGTGGACTAGCTGGATCAGTTTTGATCCAGTTTGGTATCAAAATGGCAGGTGAAATTCAGTGTTGATAAGTGCAATTATACATATGCAATGATGAGTTCTAAATTAGCTGTTACCACCCAAGAAAGAGAGCTTGGAGTCATTGTGGATAGTTCTCTGACAATGTCTGCTCAGTGCACAATAGCAGTCAAAAAGGTTAACAAATTGTATGTTAGGAATGATGAGGAAAGGGCTAGAAAATAAGACAGAAAGTATTGTAAATTGGCCCCAAGTATATATATTACTGGTCTGGACTTTATTCTGCTTGTACATTTCAAATGTGATCGAGTCATGATCACTTGTACCCCAGTTACCATTAATTTTCAGTTATGTGATTGATTCCTCTTTATCTGTTAGGACAAGATCTAATAAAGAATTCCCCCATATTGGCTGCAACACTTTTTGAGTTAGGAAATTGTCATCGCTAATGTTTGGAAATTCCAAGGATGTTTTAGTACTGGCGGCATGAGCCATCCAGCATCTGTCACTCAAATTTAAGTCCACCATGATCACGTAGCTGTTTTCCCTGCACATTAAGGATGGGTGAATAAGAAGCAGTCAGCATGTTCTCTAGGTGATTTGGTAGGCTGTAGCAGACACTAGCCATTACCACTTCTTGTGCTTTATCTGTTAGGACATTGATCCATAGCATTCAAGATTATTTTTTTCCAATGTATCGGTGATTTGGGAACAGGTAATGTCAATTTTGACATAGAGTGCCACTTCTCCTCCCTTTTTGCAAACTCAATCCTTCCTAAACAGGTTATTATAAACATTGATTTTAACAATCCAATTGTGCGAGTCATCCCAGCAGGTTTCAGTAATACCAACTGGTGACTTATAACTGTTCGGTTTATCAGTTTGTTATAAAAGCTCTTCTATTGACACATCAATTTGGGACAGTATGTCAGATTTGTTGCCCAAAAAGAATAGGGCTGATGTAGCCATGTCCTTGGCTATGAAGACTAATCCAAATAATTCATTTAGCTTCTCTGCAAGGGCCTTGTCTTCCTTGGGCTTTGTGTAATTTCCATAGTTTAAATTTACAATAACATTACTTTATTTGCTAACAGAATGTCAATACAAGTAAGACTATTCATTGTAAAACATTTATCAATTTTATATAAAGGTGTTAAATATAAGTAACTATTTACACAGAAAGAAGTGACATCTACCTGATTATGCCAAATCTCACAAGATGTTGTATGTTCCATAGTTAAATTAAGTAGGATGAGTTAGAAATTGATTAATACTTTCACTAAAGTGATTTTCTCAAAATGCTTTTAGATTCTGAAGATAATGGAACACTGCTTTACAATTTTGTTGTACTTATTTTCCAGTGTAAATGTGATAATATATTTTCAATTTTTTCTTTTATCAGTTAAAAAGATTACGTACCTTTCTGGGACAATTCATATACAACTAGATTTATTTACAGAACTTAATCTGAAATTAAGTAATTATCACTTTTTATTTATAATTTTGAGGTCTTCTTCTTCCTGGAATGGATTTTTTACTACAATTATCTGAAGCCAAATGGAAGGCCCTCACCAGGAACAGCTCTAATGTTGCTGGATCAAGAATGGAAGGGTCACTCTTCCCTCCTCTCTAGAAACTAGTTCTGTCACTTCTGTAATATACACCGCTACCTCGATATAATGCGACCCGATATAACACGAATTCGGATATAACATGGTAAAGCAGTGCTCCAGAGGGTTGGGGCTACGCACTCCGGTGGATCAAAGCAAGTTCAATATAACGCGGTTTCACCTATAACACGGTAAGATTTTTTGGCTCCCGAGGACAGCATTATATCGAGGTAGAGGTGTACTCAGACTAATCTGTTTTAAGACAAAAAATTCCCAAACCTGACTTTCAGTTCATGTGACTCCAACTCTTGACCATTTAACAGATTCAGTGTCTTGACATTTATTCAGGCAGATAATTTCTATTTAGTATGCAGTTCAGTTGCCAGTAATGAGACAGCTAGTAAGCCAGAGATGTTTTGCTGGTATAACTTTTACAGTATAAATACTAGATTGTATGCTCATTTTATATTATGTACTATACATGTTAAATACAGAGTGTATTCTCCTCTTTTTTATACAGGTTCCCCAATGGTGTGCTAAGTATGGTCTTTCTGTCCATTATCAACAGGGGATAGTGGTGTACACAAGCAGACAGCAATGTGGCTGGCACTACATGTAACTGATGAGATGGATGTCAATACTGGCCAGGAAGTGGGTTATGTTGTCCCATTTGAGAGCTGCTGTACCACTGAAACAATTCAGAGGTCTGAGGGTTTGTTTTTAATCCCTTTAACGTTGTACGAATGTCATTCCTTGAAATGTTTCAGAGCGGTAGCCGTGTTAGTCTGTATCAGCAAAAAGAACGAGGAGTCCTTGTGGCACCTTAGAGGCTAAGGGTATGTCTACACTACAAAATTAGGTCGATGTAATAGACGTCGATTTTTTTAGAAATTGATTTGATACAGTCGATTGTGTGTGTCCCCACTAAGCGCATTAAGTTGGCGGTGTGCGTCCACAGTACCGAGGCTAGCGTCGACTTTCGGAGCGTTGCACTGTGGTAGCTATCCCACAGTTCCGCAGTCTCCGCCACCCATTGGCATTCTGGGTTGAGCTCCCAATGCCTGATGTGGCAAAAACATTGTCGCGGGTGGTTCTGGGTACATGTCGTACCTCCCTCCCTCCCTCCGTGAAAGCAACAGCAAAAAATCGTTTCTCGCCTTTTTTCCTGGGTTACCCGTGCAGACGACATACCACAGCAAGCATGGAGCCCGCTCAGCTCACTATCACCATATGTCTCCTGGGTACTGCTGGCAGATGCAGTACTGCAGTGCTACACAGCAGCATCCCCTTGCCTTGCCTTGCGGACGGCAGATGGTGCAATATGACTGCTAACCATCGTCGTCGTCTGTGGGTGCTCCTGGCCGACCTCGGTTAGGTTGGTCGGGGGCGCCTGGGCAGACATGGGTGCTCCTGGCCAGCCTCGGTGAGGTTGGTTGGGGGCACCTGGACAAAAATGGGAATGATTCCAGGTCATTCTCTTTTTTAAGTTTTGTCTAATGGAGATTCAGTCCTGTCTGGAATATCATGCCAGCTGGAGGTTTCTGCCTCAGGCTGCTCTTCCAGTCGGCAGCACCGCGCGGTCGCACCTACCCCAGCCTGCCCCTTGCTCCCATGGCTCATGAAGCCTGGACAGTAGTAAGGAGCAGTTCAACTATAGGCTGAGCAAGTGCATAATGGTGGTAGAATGTGCCTTTGAACATTTAAAAGCTCGCTGGCGCAGTTGACTGACTCGGTTAGACCTCAGCGAAACCAATATTCCCATCGTTATTACTGCTTGCTGTGTGCTCCACAATATCTGTGAGAGTAAGGGGGAGAAGTCTGGTGGGGTGGGAGGTTGAGGCAAATTGCCTGGCCACTGATTACGCGCAGCCAGACACCATGGCGGTTAGAAGAGCACAGCAGCGCGTGCTGTGCATCAGAGAAGCTTTGAAAAACAGTTTCATGACTGGCCAGGCTACGGTGTGAAAGTTCTGTTTGTTTTTCCTTCATGAAAACCTGCCCCCTTGGTTCACTCTACTTCCCTGTAAGCCAACCGCCCTCCCCTCCCCCCTTTGATCTCCGCTTGCAGAGGCAATAAAGTCATTGTTGTTTCAAATTCATTCTTTATTAATTTATCACACAAATGGGGGGATAACTGCCAAGATAGCCTGGGAGGGGGTGGGGGAGGAGGGAAGCACAGGGTTGGGGTAGTTGTAGGGGCACCCCCTAGAATGGCATGCAGCTCATCATAGAAGCAGCATGTCTGGGGCTCTGACCCGGAGTGGCCATTTGCCTCTCTGGTTCTTTGGTAGGCTTACCTGATCTCCTTAAGTTTCACATGGCACTGCTGCGGGTCCCTGTTATAACCTCTGTCCTTTATGCCCTTGGAGATTTTTTTCAAATATTCCGGCATTTCGTCTTTTGGAACGGAGTTTGGATAGCACGGATTCGTCTCCCCATACAGCGATCAGATGCAGTACCTCCCGTTCGGTCCATGCTGGAGCTCTTTTGCGATTCTGGGACTCTATGGTCACCTGTGCTGATGAGCTCTGCATGGTTACCTGTGCTAATCCGCTCGCCACGCTGGCCAAACAGGAAATGAAATTCAAAGGTTCGTGGGGCTTTTCCTGTCTACCTGCCCAGTGCATCTGAGTTGAGAGTGCTGTCCAGAGCGGTCACAATGGAGTACTCTGGGATAGCTCCTGGAGGCCAATACTGTTGAATTGCGTCCACACTACCCCAAATTCGACCCAGCAGGGTTGATTTCAGCGCTAATCCCCTCATCGGGGAGGAGTACAGAAATCGATTTTAAGAGCCCCTTAAGTCGACAAAAATGGCTTCGTCGTGTGGACGGGTGCAGGGTTAAATTGATCTAACGCTGCTAAATTCAACCTAAACTCGTTGGGGGGAGGCAGCTAACCAAATGGCTGGCGCCTCCTTGTGGTGATGTTCAGTGCAGGTACTCCATAGGGAGGGCAGCCAGTGACTAGGTAAATGGCCTGGTAAAGGACTTAAAAGGAGGTACTGGATAAAGAAACAGAATGGGGGAGGGGGTTCGGGGACTCCCATGACCGGTACGGCAGGGAGCCAAACCCTCCCTCCCCTCCCCCATTCTCATAGCCCTCCTTAAGGCTCTTATGAGGCTGGTGGATGGTAAGGTCCAAGCCATGGGTTGGCTGAGGGACCTGGATGGAAACAAAGGGGCGCTGGTGGAAGCCCTGGAGAATTGATTTGAATAAGCATGGATTTGCCTGCACTGTACACTTTATCTGCCGGGTAGTCCCAGACATCTATATAATAAAGTTGCAGCCTGATTAAAACCCTGATTAAAAATTAAAAGTCTCCTGTCCTTTTTGCGGTATATCCAGACAATATGTGCTAACTACTTATGCTAAACTATCATTCAATCTTGTATTTATCTGCAACACTCTTAGCATCTTTCCCTGACCTGAAGAAGAGCTCTGTGTAGGTAAAAAGCTTGTCTCTCTTACCAACAGGAGTTGGTCCAATAAAAGATATTACCTCACATATCTTGTCTCTCTAACGGTGCCCAGTATATCCAGCAGACCCCTCAATGAAAGCTGCCTATTAGATAAACCCAACTGGTTGTCTATTGCCAAGGAACCAATATTTCAGGATGGTTATTTTAAAAGAAATAAAGTAAATAAAAATAAACTTTTTTTCCTGCTAGTCAGCACCATCCTCCTACTATGTATCACTAATTCTGCTTATAGGAGTTGATTTCTGTGGTAGCTGCAGCAAAGGGAACTGAATTCACCATTGCATGCAATATATTGATTTTGCGTAGAAAGGGGTTCTCAAATTGGGGGTTGGGACCCCTCAGGGGGTCGCAAGATTATTACATGTTGAGTCGCAAGCTGTCAGCCTCCAGCCCAAACCCTCCTTTGCCTCCAGCATTGATAATGGTGTTAAATATATAAAAAAGTGTTTTTAATTTATATGGGAGTCACACTCAGAGAGTTGCTATGTGAAAGGGGTCACCAGTACAAAAATTTGAGAACCACTGGCGTAGAAGATAAATATATTTAAGCCACCTTACTAGTATTATTTGTCATGCTACGTACAGAAAGACATGGCTATGTAATTTTATTAATAATGATGATATTTAGCTTTAGAAAATGCTTTATATTTTCAAAGTGATTTACAAACATTAATGAATCCTCCCAATGTATTTATCAGTGCCTGCATAGAAAAATATATAAAATCAGAGAAAAGCATAAAGTTTTCAGGGGTTTATTTTTTTTGGGGGGGGGGAGGACTGGAGTTTCTATGTTGATTAAAAACATTTTTGATGGGGCACATCTACACTCAGGAGCTTGGATACTTGTGTAATAATCCCTTCCTAATTGAAAAGAGATCACTTAATCCTCACCTTCACACTGAACACCACATCTGGCATGAATTATTACACCATAACTCACATCCCGTCGTAGGTTTTATTGGTTAATTGGAGTTTAAGATTTGGTGTATTGTTCCTTAACAATTAAGTGTCTTTTAACCTGAACAAAAACATGGAATGAGTTAAGAGGAAAAGTTTAGCTTTTATGGTGTATCCAGCCAAATTGCTAATCTAGCCTCAAAATGTCACAACTTAGATGCCATTGGAGCATCTTCAAGGAGACATTTTGTCAACACTGTCACTCTGACTCTGCTTGGTGTTTTGAGTTTTAGGGGTATAACTTCATAGTGATGTGCATATATATATATATATGCACATACATACACACACGCAATGCTTGTGTAATTTCCTGCACACTAAAGTGAAAATATACCATTCTAGACCTAAATTCTCTTGCTCTTGTGCGCACTTTGACTGTAAGCAGAGACAGAGCAGGCTGAATATAGTGGTTCAAAGTTCATGACCAGACATAAAATTTGTAACTGGATTTGTATTATAAACTAGTCCAATATTTTAGCTCAAAAGGAAGTACTTTAAGAAAGTAGGAGTGAAATAAGAATTTAGATAAGTACAGGTTGAAAGAGCCATTGTATGATGGTTGTGATGTCACTCAGTGTCACATAGAAACAGGAAGTGCAGATCAGATCTCTCAGGATTTTAAGAATGTAATAATTGTCAGGTTTTTTTTTAAACACTCAGCACTAAAGACATTTTAAAACAATATCTATATACTCTCTTAAAAATATCTTGCAAGCAGACTTTTTGTGGAAGTGAAAAGAGATTGCTTGATTAAAAGAATCCCCTCTATCCCAAAAACCTTTGCAGTTCACCTTTAACTTTTGGACTTCTATGCATTTAAATTTTTAACTTTAATGCGCAATTAACATAGCTTTTTAGCATTTCATTATTTTAGTTCCCTTCACAGAGTTTGACACTGGATAGGGTGACCATATGTCCCGTTTTAGCCAGGACAGTTCCTTTTTTAAGTCCTATCTGGGCTGTCCTCCTTATTTGACAAATGCCCACTTTTGCCAAAAAATTGGGCACGCACCTCTAGCAGGGTGCAGAAGAACATGTGGGGGGGAAAGTGGTGATGCCAGGCCCACGTGGAGGGGCGGGCAGGGTTTGGGTGAGCGGCAATGCCAGCCCCGTGCACGGGAGGAGGGAAGAGGGGCAGGAAACAGGCCAGCCTCACATGCAGGGAAATATGGTTACCCTAACACTGGAAGATAAAAAAACTCAATAAATAAATTTAAAATTTCTATGCATTTTTCAATATAATAGTTTTAAACGGAAGGAAGCATTTTTATATATACAATTCATGAAATTTTTAATATTTTAAATTCAAACTGGGCTAAGATCATAATAGTAATTTCCAAAGTGACTCAGATAGTGAACCTGCTAATTTCATCCTTACTAATATGTAAAGTCTAAGTGGCTGACTCATAATTTTTCAGTATTGCTATTTCAGTAGCATGTTGATATATTGTAATGGAGATTAGAGTAACTACTTCCCCCCCCCCCCCCAAGATTGGTTCAGATATGATTAAATGTCAGGCTGGAGAAATGTGCTTGGAAATTACATGAAAGAAAAGTACATTAAAAAAGCACAACTGTTCTTGGACTAGAGGAAAACAAACGTCCTCAAACACTATGCTTATCAGTGTTTACAGTGTTAAGATCTCTCATATAATTCAGTTCCATTTTCTTTTCTCCTTTAATCAATATCATCCACATGATAAGTATATGTCACTATTTTTTATAATAAAAATCCATTTAAAAATAATCAATTGATACAAAATTAGCAAACTGTGTTTGTTTTAATACTCATGAAAAAGGTCTCTTCCAACTAGAGGAAATTTTAAAAAGCCTACCAGATTCTCTGACATGAGGGATCTAATTTAAATCCTGATCTTGGAGAATTAGTCCCTGTTTCTCTGGATCCCAGCCACAAAGATATAATTCAAGCCAAATGAAGATAAAGAAAAAAAAATGCTGCAAAAATTACAGAAGAAAAGTGCCATTAACCATGAGCTTTGGAGAGTTTTTGGTCTGGATTCATACTGTAACCTTTGCAATTGATATTAATGTGGAGAGAAGAAATGTTAGTAAAGTAAGTGAAATCAAGAAGACAATAATGAAGCACAGCTGGAGTGTGTGTTACTAAAACTGTTAGTGGCTTGATGCAAATATGTTCTTAGGGCATCCAAATTTTTTCAACTCTTTCATAAGTAGTTCCTTAAAAGTTAATTTATACAAAATAGGAAGGCTTATTGTACTGAACGTATTTTCATTATGCAGAAGCCAAATTACATAACATTTTTTCAACTTTCAACCTGTGAAAAATAAAGCTATTTTGTAAATATCTTATCTGAAAATATAGATTACCTTAATTCATTGAGCCAAATTTTCCAAAGGAAACTCAGATCAGACTAAGTTTTCATGATCAGAATTGCAACGCATTTTTGTGCATTCCAAAACCTCTCACATGCGTTTTCATTTTGGTCTGACATTATCACCTTAATTTCCTCTCCCGTGTTATAACTGCCTCTTCAGCAACTATAAGAATAAAATATGCAAAACTGCCAAACTGTTTCAGGAAGCTGATTATGGGGGTGATAAGAGGGTGTAATCAGTTCTCCGTTACTCCAAAGGTCAATGAAATGTGACCTCAACTCATTCTGCATCTCTGAAATATGACTGATCCCCCATGAGCCTAGGCAGAGGTTACTCTTAAGTCTGGATCTCCCACATGCTGCATCACCAGATTGTAAAACCATCTTCAGATATAAATCCAATCGATATTTGAAAACACTGCAGCTCATTTGAAATGATCTATATCTGGGGTTAGTCCACTTTTTAAGTGCCTTGTGCAGCCTTCCCCTCCTCCCTCCTCCCTCCCCCCTCCCTCCCGTTTGGAAAGCACTGGTTCACCAGCAACCTTCGGTTTCCTTGTTTTTTGAGTTTGTAGAGAATGGATGTGCAGGTAATGCTCTGGGGGATGAATGGGTGGGTGGTAACTTACTACATGATTCACAAAGCTGCATTACTAGAGACCTTGAACCTAGATGCCCAGCTGTCTTGCTATAGAGTAATGAAATTATAAATGAATATTGGGTTCCCCAACAATGAAGTTAGGATCCCTCAAACTCTTTCTGAAATATCCCTTTTTGAAACCTGTACAGAGCATTTCACTTAGTTCAGTCAAAACCTTGGGAATTGGAGCTGTATAAAATGTTCATCACAACAACTGGAATCACACAAAACTCACCTGGTTTTAGATTGTTACAAACTCATAACTCAGCACAGGGTCATTAGAAGGTTTGTGATCTTTTCTGAGCATGTCTAGATTCAGTTTTTAAATGAAACTGGGCTGATTTATGATCTGCCACTGAATTCATGCTAGGCTTACAGCTTTGAATGAGTTTCATTTTTATTTGAACCTGAAACCCAAAGTGAAATTCAGGGGTTGCAGACTTACAGGTTTGAATTTTCGGGACTTCATATTTTTAATTCATGTGAGTTTACAGTTCTGTTTGGAACCAAATAATCTCTCTTGAAAACACATTTCCTACCTTAAAGTCTGTTACTCTAGATCATTTTTAAGTTTTATGATTCACTCATCAACAATTCAAATTAACATTTAATCAGTACTGGCAAAATTCAGAGGGTCTATGCAAGGTCACATGCACCAAGTGAATGCCCCAAGCCCTTGACTTGTGACTTGCGACTTGCATAGGACTTAACTGGTACATAGGGGCTTGTGTGTGCCTCGTGAATTGAAGCAAATTTCATCTTACTGGTTAAAATTCTGACTGAAGTCAAAGGACTATAGGAAGGGCCATGCAAAATATGACTAAAGTTGCTTAATTCAGATTGTAATATGTCCTACCATATGCTATGAAAGCTGTGGGATAGCTCTGACTCGTCATACAGGAAGCCCAATCAGCTTCTTATTTGATCAAAGTGAAGGGAACAGGCTTTTTTTTTTTAAAGGTACTGTATCCACTTTTTTTTCCAATCTACACACATGTGCTGCACTGATTGTTATCAGTGAGACAAAGACCTAGAGTTGCAATGGAGCAGAACATAATCTAACAATGTTGTGATTCTATTATTGGAAAAAAGATGGAAAAATACTCCTCTGAGAATGCCTTTCCATTATATGGCATAAGGATATGTTTTGTACTTTAGTATGGTGCATTTTATCAGTAAATGAGATTTATCTTAGCAGAGGATACAGAAATACCTACGGAAAATAAATTGTTTGAGACACTGTCAAGTCTCATCAAAGTGCTTGCAGGTCTCATTTTCAGACCAATGAGACAATAGTGTGTCAAGGAAAATAATCTACAGCAAAGTATTTTATGAAAAAACAACCAAACAAAATTTTAGTGCAAACCCGTTTGGTATTTGCAGAGTCTTCATTTATTGAATACTTATGTCTCTCTTTCACTTCAAAGGTATGCAGTCCTAGAATCAGGCTGCATTATAAGAGAGTCTGCTCTATCAGTAAAAGCCAAGAAGATATGTGCAAGCAAATTCTGGGCACGTCATCATCAGGTAGGCTCACTGACACAAAATTAAATAATAACATTAATATATACAATACTACAAAAAGCAAGAGAATTTTCTGAAATCTCTTCCAGGCAAACTCTTCTGCCTCTACCCTGGATAATTTACATACAAGGAAATGAAACCATGCCTGTCAGCCAGAATACAGGACTCAAATCTAACTAGCATGGTTCTTTTTCTGAAGAGAATGGATTTAGCAGGCTTAGGCCACCGGCTTCATAAAGAGGCCAGGTAATACCTTACATACCAGTTTTCTTTATGTGTCTTATTACATAGGCTATTATATTTTCCTTAAGATTAATTTTATTTTTCACTGTTATTCACAAAGCTGATTTTAACAAATAGGAGTTCCCCATCTCTGCTACTGAAGATATAATTTTATGGAGCAATTTGCCTTTATAACTAAAACACTGATACTTTCATTTATAAATAGTGGTCATTGGTGAATTGCTTACTCCAAGAAAGAGAAAACAAATCTCAGCAAAAGACAATGAATGACATAATGAACTCAAAATCAATATGCAAAAACATCCTATCTGAGGTTCTTCAGTAAAGTTTGGGGTTCCCTTGTGCTAGGCACTGCACAAACATAGCAAGATTCACTCCTTAATCCCAAGAGTTTACAGTTTAAATAGACAAATATGGTTAATTAATCTGTACTTTTTCAGGTGATCTGTTTTGTCCTTATCTCTGTGATGCATGAGAGGACATTGCTTAGTACGACCTTCTTCAATTCAAGTTAAACATTTATTTAAGGAAAATACTGTATAAATAAATGACAAGGTTAAAAATGATCTCAAATCCATCCTCCAATATTGAACAAAGGACTCCTGTTTCTTTTCTTTCCTTCAGTATTCCTGTCTCATGTACAATGACTCTCCTGTTTTGAAAGTAGTAATAAATTCACCATAATATCAATAAAAAAGCCAAGAGAATTAAAGCGGACAGCTTCTGCCTGCACCAGTAGAGCTGCTACTTTCAACATTTATTTAGTTCACCTCTTCTGGAGTTATATCTTTCTTCAGTACCTGCTAGGGTAATACAGAAGGAATTTTGTCTCTTTCATTTTAAAGAGAAGCAAGTCAGCTGCAGAGGAAAGAGCGTGGTAACAGTGCAGCGTTAACACTATTATATTTTCACGCCTGTCCTCTCATCATTTTCACAGCCAATCATTTTAGAAAGACAGGACCATACCCTCAAAATATTTTAATGGACTCCCATTGGTTCCCCTTTCAATGACTGGGGTCTCCTCAGGTATTTTCTTCAAATGGACAAGATCAGTCCCTAGATGAGAGGGGTTTTTGCTATAGGCACAAGTTTTTAATGCCAACCCATGCTATCCTGAGGTACCTAATATCTTCCCAGATACCAGAACAAATGGTCAATTCTCACTAGGACTGGACTGAGGTGAGGTGGTGTTTGGATTTTGACCCACACAAGGTTCAAAGCAGGAACTGCAGTTCAAGTTTGAAGCTGACAGCACTGCAATTTCATCAGTTATTCTCAGGGGACTTTAGCAAATGGTGAAGATCATGAGATTTTACTAACTCACTACTGTAACATAATCTCGTGAAGGGAAGTCCTCACTGTGAGATAATCAACCTCATCCGTCTGTCAGAAGGCAAGCCACTCAACCTGCTCTACAATGTGCTTTTATGTTGTCTCTATAAGTAATTCTTCTGTACTTTGCAGTAAACAAGGTAGTCCTTGACCCTAACTAATGTGCTGCTGGCTGTTTTCCCCATTAGTTATACTGGAGTTTTTACTCTCTTAATGGATAGTAGCTTGACCTCCATTGTGTTCTTAGAGTTAGAAAATAAATAAGCTATTTACTTTATTATACAGATTTTAGTTTATTCCCCTAACAGCTTGCTTCCTTCAGTACCGAACTCCCAAACAGTCTGAACTCCTCAGTGCTCATTCTGGGCCTGATCAAAAGCCCACTGACACCAATAGGATACTTTAACAGCAATGGATTTTGGATTAGGTCCTCTGATACTATCTACTTCTGTGCTAATTTCTAAGCAAAAAGGGGAAAGATTTTGTCCCTTTTATACATTCACTGGCCACACCTCTACTCAGTGCTTATTCCATAGAACAGTGGTTAATTCCCACTGTTGGGTGCTATTATGGGGAGCAGAAAGAATTTGTCTGCTGAGAGTGGATTAGGTCTCAGGCATACAATAGCATCCCATTTCCCCCCTGCTAGATACCTGCCTGACAGAAGCAAGGCACATGGGTCAGTCAGGGGCTCAGACAGGAGGAACTAGCACATTAACAGCAATGTGAGAAAGTGGGGCCAGTTTGGTGATAGATGAGAAGCATAACGCTCCTGGGCTCTTGAGGGGAATCTTCTGAACACAATCCAGAATACCTTGTTTGACAGAAGTAGTCACTGAGTATATTTAGCTTCCATCCCTCAGTTTAGGCACATTCTAGTAAAAAGAAAATTCTAGGATAAATAAATGCCTTGTATGAATGCAAAAGAAGTTATGCTTGTGCAGTAGGTGGAATTAGTAGAGTTATATTAGGGAAAATGCTCAGTACTGCTAGACCTAGTATAAAAGTAGCATTATAGAAATAGAGAGGGTATCAAGGATGAATAAAACACTAGAGGGATTTTAGGATCTTCTGTTTAGGAACTGAGGGAAAAATTTGGTCTGTGTTTATGGAAAGATAAAGGATAAAGAGGGAATTTTGCTAATATGTACAAGATTGTAAAGTAAACAGAGACTAGGTGGTTCAAGGCTATTTGGGATATGGTCAGATATAAGATAGCTACCGCCAGCTAAGAGAACACGAGCGTGTGAACTCAGGGTAAAGAAGAGTTTGAGGCATTTTGGTGGTGGGGGGGTGGTAACTATGAAAAATAAGTTAGGCAAGACTGTGGAACAAATGAAAACTGTGGAGTAAATGAAAGAAGAGATTTATAGATTCCCAGGCCACTGTGATCATGTAGCGTGACCTAGTAGATAACACAGGCCATAGAACTTCCCCGAAATAATTCCCAGAGCATATGTTATAAAAGAACATTCAATCTTGATTTAAAAATTGTCAGTGATAGAGAATCTACCACAACCCTTGGTAAATTTTTCTCTCAATATTAAAAATTAGCTCCAGTCTGAATTTGTCTAGTTTAACATCAAGCCAGTGGATATTGTTAGATGTTTCTCTGCTAGATTGAAGAAACCACTATTAAATATTTGTTCCCTATGTAGGTACTTATAGACTGTGATCAAGTCACCTCTTAACCTTTTCTTTGTTAAGATAAATGATTTGAGGTCTTTGAATCTTTCATTATAAAGGCAGGTTTTCTAATCCTTTAACCATATTCATGGTGTGACGGGTTGGGTCACAGAAACCCCCTGGGAGCTGCCACCCGATGTGCTAAGACTACTTCAACCCCTGCTTTCCCTGCCAGCTCGGGACCCCAGCACCCTGTCTTGCTGAGCCAGACACTCCCGTCTGTTCCAACAAAGAACCAGGGTCTGAATTACTTGCCCCAAAGCTGCAGGTTTACCTGAAAGCAGCTAACAGAAGTGTTCCCGTCTTTAACCCTCAGATGCCCAACTCCCAATGGGGTCTAAACCCAAATAAATCCGTTTTACTCATAAATTGTTTGCCCTCTATAACACTGATAGAGAGATATGCACAGTTGTTTGCTCCCTCAGGTATTAATACATACTCTGAGTTAATTAATAAGTAAAAAGTTATTTTATTAAATACAGAAAGTAGGATTTAAGTGGTTCCAAGTAGTAACAGACAGAACAAAGTAAGTCACCAAGCAAAATAAAATAAAATGCGCAAATCTATGTCTAATCAAACTGAATACAGATAAGATCCTCACCAGTTCCAGAATGCTCCCTTTTACAGACTAATCTCCTTTTACCCTGGGTCCAGCAATCACTCACACTCTTGCAGTCACTGCCCTTTGTTCCAGTTTCTTCCAAGTATCCTGGGGGGTGGAGAGGCTCTCTCTTTAGCTAGCTTAAGACAAAATGGAGGGGTCTCCCAGGGGTTTAAATAGACTTTCTCTTGTGGGTGGAGACCCCCTCCTCACTCCTATGCAAAGTCCAGCTCCAAGATGGAGTTCTGGAGTCACCTGGGCAAGTCACATGTTCATGCATGACTCACAGTCTTTACAGGCAGAAGCCATTGTCCACATGGTATCTTGTATGTCTCCAGGAAGACTTCTTATGTGGATTGGAGCATTCCAAGATGCATTGTTCCCCAAGTGCTTCCTGATTGGGTACTTAACCTTGTGAATTCCTTCCTAAAGAAGCTGACCAAATGCCTCACAAAGCTTACTTAGAAATCAAGCAAGTATACAGCCAATATTCTTAACCTCAAGTACAAAATGATATATGCGTACAAATAGGATGAATAGATATAGTAGACCAAACATATTCCAGATATGTCATATTCCCATAAAGCATTATGGGGTACAGCATCACACATGGCTCTTCTCTGAACCCTCTCAAATTTATCAACATCCTTTTTAGATGACACCAGAACTGCAAACAGTATTCCAACAGCAGTTGCTCTAGTGCCAAATAAAGAGGTAAAATAACCTCTCTACCTCTACGTGAGAATCCCCTGTTTATGCATCCCAGGATTGCATAAGCCCTTTTGGCCACAGCATCGCATTGGGAGCTCATGTTCAGCTGATTATCTGCTACCAACCCCAAATATTTTTCAGAGTCCCTGCTTCCCAGGATAGTCTCCCATCCTGTAAGTATGGCCTACATGCTTTGTTCCTTGATATACACATTGACATTTAGCCATATTAAAAAACACATTGTTTGCTTGCACCCAGTTTACCAAGCAATCAAGGTAGCTCGGTACTAGTGACCTGTCCTCTTCATTATTTACCACTCCCCCAATTTTTTGGTCATCTGCAAACTATCATCCATGATTTTATGTTTTCTCCCAGGTCACTGATAAAAAATGTTAAATAGCATAGGGCCAAGAACAGATCCCTGCAGGACCCTTCTAGGAATGCACCCACTTGATGATGATTCCTTGTTTACAATTACATTTTGAGACCTAGCATATAGCCAGGGGAAAGGTTGCAGGGTTTCCTGGACTCCTTCTGTCTTAAAGTGTCCTATGTTACTAAGCTTTTTTTTTTTTGACATGTTGCTGTTTAATTTGTTCAGCTCATGGCTCCCCAAACTTTTTCATAGTGTGGGCCACATGTTAACAGATTGTCTCATAAAGGTCATCTCCCCTCCCATTCACAATTGTGCAGCCAATCTCCATGCCCATTAGTGATTAAATAAAATCCTAAAACAACTCTCCATTTGCCCCCAGCAAGCATTCTGTAGACTACTGTTGGGTCACAGACAGTTTGAGTTTTGCTGGTTAGATACTCTTGATTCAAAGAAACAGAACTATTGTATTAAACTGATTTTTGTGTGTGCCAGATGGCCACTGTAGAATATTTTTGCAGAGCATGCTTCAATAGCTGAAGGAACTGCATCACCCTGCTGGCTTTGTAGTTAGAGTAGACACTGCCCTGTGAGACACCAAGTTCAGTTTCTTACTCCATGTGGGCCCAGTCCTGAAAGTTGCTGAGCACACTCAATTCCCCTCGCGTTCAATCAGAGTTGAGGGTGCACCCCACCTTGTAGGAGTGAGCCCTGCGCTGGGAAATACTCAGGCAACATTCAGACTCCGAGATCAGGAAGTGCCTCACATCACTGTGCAGCAACCCCTGTAACTGAGCAACATGGGGTGCTGATGTGCTCAAAATGAACCTGCAAACTTTCTCAGCCAAAGCAGGGTGCTGGAGCCCAGAGGGTGGCATGGGACAGATAGGAGGGGGGAAGTTTTGGTGGTACTCTTCTAATCTCTGGCCACACACAAAGCTCCACCCATCTGGGATGCCACTCACAGTACATTGTGCAGACACTCAAGATATAATCATATAAAATGTAGGACTGGAAGGGACCTCAAGAGCTCATCTAGTCCAGCCCTCTGTGCTGAGGCAGGACCAAGAATACTTAGACTATCCCTGAAAAACATTTGTCTAATCTGTTCTTTTAAAAACGTCCAGTGACAGGGATTTCACTATCTCCCTTGGTAACCTATTCCAGTACATAGGAAAAGCTTTGTAACTATAAGAATAGCTAATAGCTAACTTAAGTCTCCCTTGATGTAATTTAAGCCAGTTACTTCTTGTCCTATCTTCAGTGGACATGTAGAACAACTGATCACCATCCTCTTTATGACAGGTTTCAGGGTGGTAGCCGTGTTAGTCTGTATCAGCAAAAACAACGAGGAGTACTTGTGGCCCTCTTTATGTGTCTGTAAATGAGTTCACTCACTGCTGGTTGCCCCCTTGTGGCCAGGCTTGGGATAGAAGCTCTCTTCTCTAGCACTCCCCGGCCAATGGTTGCTCCAGCGCTGTGGTGATTTTTCTTCCACTGACTCAGCCGTCCAGCTGGGTCACCCTCTTAAGTCCACCCCTCCAGGGTCACCATTGTCCACACAAAAAGTCCCCAAACATCTTTAACACAACCTTATGCCCTCACTGGGACTATTCCTCACACTGTCTTCAGGGCTTAGCCTGCAGCCCCCGTGCTGGGCTCGATAATTCTTGTGATAGGCTTGGGGCAAGTAGGGGTCCCACCCTCTATTCTAGGTTCCAGCCCAGTACTGAAAAACTAGGTCTGCTCCTTTCCCTGTGCTGCAGCTTTCCCTAGGCCACCTCCTATGTAGCTTAAGTTCCCCTCTAGATCTCTCTGTCTCATCCCTGCTTTAGTCAGAGTCTCTCCTGGCCTAGAGAGCTTTTCAATCTCTCCTAGGCCTTCTTACCTGGGGAGCTTTCTTTCCTTCCTGCTCTACCTATCTGGCTCTTGCTCCAGGTCTTTCTCCCAGCTAGGCTTTGTTATCACTTATACCTGGCTCTCTCTATTTACCGCAGTCACCTTGTGTTCTTTATGGGGAATTGCCTGATCCCCCTCAGGTGAGGCTCATTCTGTAATCAGGTTTGGTTAGCCCCAGGCTTTTCAGCCCATCGGGCAAGCCACTCTGTTACACAGCCCTCAAAAAATTTGAGCAATGTTATCTGGTCCCCCATCAGCCTTTTTTTCCTAAAGACTAAAAACATACAGGTGAGTCTCATCTTACGCTGGGGTTACGTTCCGCTGTCAGCGCGTAAATCGAAAATCGCGTACAGTCAAAATTACATTGAGTGTAATGGCGGGCGGAATTGCACACACTACAGGTACAGTATTTAAATTGTTATTTTTCTCTTTTGGGGGGGGTTGTTTTTGTTTTTGCCGACCGCACAAAGCTGAATTTGCGCATGTTAAATGCGTGTAAGATGAGACTCACCTGTACCCATTTTT